CTGCTCACATTGTGCTCAGTCAGGGGTCTGGACGCACATAGCCTCCCTCGCCTGCTCGCTGGACAAGAGTGACCTTTAACTGAGGTCCGGCCTCCAGAAGTCGAGAGCCGTGCGTTGGGGCTGCCTTACTCTGGAAAGGCACTTTGTGGGGCAGCTTGAGGAGGGTGGGGAGGGGGCTCGGAGCTGCTGCAGAGCTGCACACAGTCCCTGACTGTGGCCAACCCATGTCACATCTGTTGCCCCTGTAGGCTCTCCTGGATTCCTCAGGTTGCCCAACAGCCCTCCTTTAAGAAAAGCCTTCCTTTATTCCAAGGTGAATAGGGGTGGCCACTAGTTGAGCTGTCTGAAGAGGTTGACTGCACCATCTCTCCCCAGCTGTTGGTTCCCAAGACAACAAAGTATTATTTGAGGGAAAATGAATAAGCCCTGGGCTGCTAAGGATGCTGCGCTGCAGTCATGAGTGCAAGAGGGGGAAGGGTGTGAGCGTTGGGGTGCACGGGGTGAAGAGGTGCCTTCTTGGTAGATGGTGTCAGCTTGCTCCTGTGGGCTATGGACAAACAGGAGACACAGCACATGCCCAGTGCCTTGTTGGGATCCAAGCTGGTTCTTTGATTTAGCTTCAAACATGATAGGTTCAATAAAGCCTTGGACACAGCAAAGATTTAACTGTGAAGGAAAAGTATTGCACAAGGTATGGAGATTCTGGTGAGAAAAGTCTAGCCTTAAAAGTTAAAGCAGGACAGTATTTAGTAGTGCTGCACCGTCGCCTGTAAACACAAGGACATTGTCCTTTCCTTCATGGACCTTTTGAATAGCCACCACAAAATGACAATCCATGCCCTGATTTTGATTAATTTCTCTTGAGCTCTGTCATAGTTGCAGAGGCAACCACAAATCCCTGCCTGGCGCTCGGCCCAGGGGTGTGGAGGCTCTGGGACCAGGAGCTGAGCAGCCCAGGGTCCGATGGCCCCTCCTGGAATCCCTTAATCCCTCTGAAGCCGAGTCAGCTGCCTCACCTCCATGGGGATGGTCTTGGCCTGGATGGTTTGGTGCTATAAAAGTCGAACCTGCATTTCATGGACCTTGGCCCGCTGGTCTCGAGTTTCAGTTGACCGACTACAACTTTCTCGGAGTAACTGGAAAAGGAGTCCAGCTGGGTGCCGGGAGGAGGCATGTGCCTCCTCCACAAGGGCCTCCTCCATTACGAGGAGTGTCGCTCAGAATGCTTGGCTGAGTCGGTTTTTTCCTTGTGACATGGAAATGTGTCCTGTAGAAGGGTTTGTTTTTATTTCAGGGAAAATTAATGGCAGCAAGTTCTTAATGAACAGTTAAGTGTAAAAACCCAAGAGAAAGAGAATCTAAATATTGGGCTCTTCTTCATTATTACTTGTAAATAATAATAATGATGCATATTGGGGTGTAGCAGCCCAATTGAGACACAGATCACATACCATGTCATGGACTCACTTTATGACCACAGTTCGCAGATTCGTAGTACATTCAGTGTTGTACAGCCTTCAGAACCTTTTTGATCATCCTTGGAAGAAATCTCATTAACAGTCCCTTCCCTCTAGTCCCCAGCAATTTCTTGTCTCCTTGCTGCTTCTGTGAATCTGCTTGTCCTGGACATTTCATGCAGATGGACTCAGGCAACATGTGGCCTTTTATGTCTGCTCCTTTCACTCAGCGTACTGTCGCTAAGTTCATCTGTGTTGTAACATGAGTCAGGACTTCATTCCTTTTCATTGCTAGATAATATTCCACTGCAGGGATAGATCATAGTTTTGGTTAACTACTCATCAGTTGATGGACATTTGGCTTTGGGCCATGATGAATTCATTCAGGTGTAAGTTTTCGTGTGGACAAGTTTTCATTTCACTTGGATAGAGGCCTTGCAGTTAATTCTGGGTCATAGGGGAGCTCTGTGCTTAACCAGTTGAGGAACTGCCAGTCTGTTTTCTGTAGCATCAAACCATTTTACATTTGAACCATCAGTGCAGGAGGGTTCCAGCTGCTCCTCATCCTTGTGACTGTCTCACTATCGATTATAGCCAAATGAGTCAGTGTGACGTGGCAGCTCAGGCCAGTTTTGATTTGCATTGTCTGATGGCTAAGGAGGTTGGACATGTTTGTAGTGCTCACTGGCCATTTGCATATCTTTTTCGAAGAAATGTCTATTCAGAGCTTTTCTTATTTTTTAAATTGGTTTATCTCTTTATTGTTGAGTTGTAAAAGTTCTTTAGATGCAACTTTTTTACTCTGTGGCATCTCTGATCTTTAACATATGCTATAAACCTGGAGCTTGGCCACCCTTCTTGTTCTGCCTCATTTGTTCACCCATTCACTGTTTCCTGGCCATCTTTATGTGGAGGTATTATATTCTCTGCTCTCAAGTTTATCAAATACCTGTTGCTTCACTGAGCATAAAACAAACAGGAAGGCAAGAACTGTAGTGGTAAATGCATGTGTGTGCAGAAGAAAGGACCTTCAAATTGAGGAATCAAGGAAGACGGCCTGAAGGAAGGGGCATTTTAAGTGGTCTTTGCTAAAAGAATAACAGTAGCAAATCCTGTGCTGTGATATACAGCATTGGGACAAGGACCTCAGAGCTGGGAGCCCAGATGAATATCGGTCCAGTGTGTGCCGTTGTAGCTTGGGATTCTTTCCTGGGAGGGGCGGGGTGGGGGGGGGTGTCTGTGTTTTAATCTGAAAGTGTAAGGCATGGATTCTCACCTATACTTCTCCTGTAACCTGTGATCCTGGGTAGGTCACTCTGTGTTTTAGGGAGTGTGTACCAGCCTTCTTTTAACTCACAATGTGCATGTCCCATCATTCTTGGGGCTCTGGTGGTAGGGTCCCATTGTAATTTCCAGGAGAGACAGGGAGGAGGTCAGATGGGTCTCTGGGTCTTTAGCCTCCCTCAGAAGTTTGTTGTTTCCAAGGAGCAGTAATGGGCTCTCTTCTTCCTGTACCAGACACAGGGATTGGCATGAACGTTCACTGTGAACAAGCCCAGGAACTCGATGGCCATGGGGTGTCAAGTGAGAATGTCACTGTTACCCGAATTGTTAACTGCAAGAGCATGTGCTGACGTAGCAAGCGATAATTCTGTCTCCATGTGACCTGAGTTTGTGGCTGTGGTGATGGTTTTCCATGGCAACTGCTCTTGCTACACATCTGTTATCTGATGAAATGGCTCCCAGGGGCCCACGCGGCACCCGAGTGCTCTGCACCCCTCTTGTCCCGCCAAGGATGTGGGGAAATGCTGGGCGGAGGGCATGAGGCTCTGGCTGTGTCCATGAGGCTTGATCTGCAATTACTGATTCCTGAGGTGTCATCAGGGCTCTCCCCCAAAGTTAGTGGTTCTGCTGACACTTAGCCCTGGAACTCCCTCCCCATACCTGCCCCTACCCCTAAGGAAGAGCGGACCAGAAAGAGGGGCATATTGAGATAGAATATTTCTAATGGTTTAAGGTATAATATTAACACTATCTTTTGTTTGCTCATTTAAGCCTAAAGTCACTAAACAGGAAGAAGAGGGCAACTAGAACCAACTGAATCCCTGAGTGTTGCAGGCCATCCTAGGGCCTGTTTTTTCGGTGTTTCATCTAAAATGGAAAGTTCCAGTTTGCTCTGGGGCCAGAATCCTTAAAAGGAAGCCTAGCTGGAGGTGTATTATTATGGGTCACTGTATATTTGCTAGTTTACATCTTGCTGACTACATTGGCAAAACTTGTATTTTTCCTGGTAAACAGTCAGGAGTTTTTTTTTCCTCACTCCCTCCCCTAACAAAATCGTGTTTGTCATAGGCGCATAAAGTAATTGACTGTTAAAACTGTCCACACATCTGTGATGATATGAAAATTAGTGGTGGCAGACAAAGGCCCCCTTTCTTAGGTGCCTCAGGCCTCAGGTGAAGCGGACTTGATCCTAACATGACTCTCAAATTGTGACCAACTGGAAACCAAGCTGGTCCAGCCTGAGAGGCCAAAAGGGACAGCCAGACAAAGGGGTCATTATGTGTGAGGCGTTTGCATCCCCCACAGTAGGTATTAGAAGGCCTGAAGTTTTCTCTTAAAAACTTGCTTGTAGATTTTAGAGGGAATGCAGGCTTTCTTATAATAAGAAATTGTGCTTATTTTGATTTATAACAAGGAAAAAGTTATCCCTTAGCACAAAGCCTTTCACACAGGAATGGAGGACGCTCAGGCCAGACCCTTTTGGCGCTTGGGGGGGCCGTTCCCTGGACTGCACCTGTGCTTTGTGCTTGTGATGGGCACGACACGAGCCCAGTCAGGGCAGGCCTGGCCCCGGCTGTGACCGCTAGGTGTTGGGGCTACCTTCGGGCTCTCTGAGGATAAGCTGTCTCTCGCCTGTCAGGGCATTTTTTTTTTTGCTGTTAACTCTGGGGAGAAACATTTGAATGATTCATCCATAGCTTTTCCTCATTCTTTAAGAAAACATACCAAAAAGTAATTAAAATGTTAATAAGCAAGAAAAGCGAGCCTGGCCTGGGGTTTTCATGAACCAGGCTGGCTTTGGGTCATTCTCATGGCCATGGGGTTGAATGCACATGGCTGAGAGACTTCTGGTGTTTCAAATGAACTTTTGAGCTGGTTGACAGCCAGTACTTCCCCCATTACATTATCACACCTTCTACTTTTAAGCTCTGCCATAAAGAATTATTGAAGACGAGGTAATTACGTGGCGGGACTAGGATGTCGGCAGTCATCGAGGTGCAAGGCAGGGCAGACCCTGCTCACCTCGCACTGAGGGCTGTGAGTCTGTGACTTCCATAAGGTGGGGGTGGGGTCTGTACGGCCCGTGTTTACGTGAAGTGTCTCTGGCTGGCAGCTCAACCCCACAGACTGTGCTCTGAGAGCGGCGGGCTGCCCGTTGTGGTGCCAGAAAATCCCACCGGAGCAGTTTTGCAAGAGGGTGGGTGGGGGCCCCAGGGCTGTCTCTATTGCTTAGTGACCACAGCCCCTCTCTCTACACAGGTGAAGCTGCCCTCAGGGGAGAGCCCAGGATGCAGGCCCTCCCGGTGGCGTCTGCCCTCACCAGCCACCGCACGGGCCCCCCACCCATCAGTCCCAGCAAGAGGAAGTTCGGCGTGGAGCCTGGAGCAGACGAGCTGGACTGCGACAGTGACCATGCGTCCAAGATGAGCCGCATCTTCAGCCCCCACCTGTGAGTCCCCTCCACCCCCCGGAGGGCCTGGTGTGGCCAGGGCACCTCCTTGCCTCGTGGCACTTGTGAAGCCCCAGCGTGGATAGTGCTCATCTGGCAGGAGGGGATTGAAGCCAGTTTCAACCCCTGGTTTCCTTCCTACTCGCCTGTGTGGTCACCTTTGCGTCTCAGCCCGGGACTTGCCCTAGAGCCGCCCCTCCCCTGGAGCACCTAGGGGTGTCAGGAGAATCGCCCCGGGGTGAGTGGCCATCTGTGCTGGCGAGATGGAGGGAAAGCCTGGTGCTCATGCAGACTTCTGCCAAGTGTCTGGCGCTGAGCCCAGGACCGTGCACCTGGAGGGGTGCCCCCTCTCACCCCATTCCCTGGGGGTCCGGTGGCTCCTGTATGGCGCCAGGGAGCCTGGTATTTGTGCTGCCACTCACCACTGACACTCTCCACAATGTTCTGCTTCTTTGGCACGTCAGTTTCCTTATTTCTGAGGCAAAGGGGCTGCATGGCAAGGCTTCTGCCCTGTGCGGCAAGCAGCTGCTGGCTCCCCCGTCCCCTCGAGCACATGCCTATCAGAGGGCCTGGAATGTTCTTTCATCTGTTTGGGGATTTGGAAATGCCCAGCTGACTGGGAGCCCATGGGGCGGGGCGGCGACCTCAGAGGCTGAGGGCTGGTCGGGGAGGGGGAGGGTCTCAGGCCAGTGGCAGGAGCAGCTTTGTGTGCCTAGGTGGACAGTCCGGTCCCAGGCCTCCACACACAGGCTGTGGACAGGCCAGCTCCCGGCCCCTCCCACACAGAGGCTGGGCTCCGCCGCCCCAGATCTGGTTCCCAGGATGCTGCAGTCCTGGCCGGAAGGGAAGGCAGAGGCTTCCTGGCTCCTCATTGGTGGGGAACAGGCCTTGGGAGGGGAGCTGCTGCCTTGAGCCGGCAGGCCCTGCGTGCCAGGCATTCCAGCCACTCCGACTGTTGTGTTCAGTCATAAGACGCACTGACAGAGGCATTTATGCTCCATAAATCACTGTGTGTTAGTCAGAGGCTGAGCCTGCAGTCTGGAGCCCAGGAATTTGCTGCAGTCAGGAATCCAGCCCAGAGGCCTGCAAGTCACCAGCTCTCATCAGCAGGAGAGGCTGGTCACTTCATCCTGGTGTCCAGTACCAGGAGATCGTCCTTCAGTTCTGTCCCTGAGCCCAAGTCAGAGACATGTGCTCCTTTGCCCAGGAAGGGGGAGGCGCCCTGAGATACAGCCCACGTTGTGGTCAGACACGCCTGTGTTCAGTTCATTCGATTCTGCCGCTTGCCAGCTGGGAGAGCCAGGACAGCCACCTAATTATCCGGGCCCAGTGTCCTTTACACAATGGCCATGGAAACAATGACCTGTAGATGCAACGTTAAAACGTAGAGTTAAAGCATGCGAGGCCTTCTGGGCACATAGCACCCAGTTTTTATTATTCATCATTTCATCCCCCAGATGTTGCTAATGATGACACAGGACGAGTGATGCTTTGGGGAATCAGTGTGTGTGTTCTGCTCAGAATGTTTGGCCTCAAGTCCTTGCATCTTTATCTTGAGTGGGAATGGTAAGCGCCCCTCCCCCTCAGAGGGCCTGCATGCCTCGTGCAAGGCCTGGCCGGTGGCACACACAGCTTCCCCGTCACTGTTGGGGTGCGTGGCGTTCAGAAAGTGATTCTGTGACTTGAGAGACCTTGCAGTGGCTTTATGAGTCACTTCAGCTGGAGCCGCGTTTCTGTGACTGTGTCATTCGCCGCTGACATCCTCGTGCAGAGGTTTAGGGAGAGCGCAGTGCCCCCTGGAGCAGGCCCCCTGCTGCGGGGAGGGGGTTGCCTCTTCACGTTGGTCCTGCGTCTTCCAGACCTGGTGGGGCCTCTGCCTCTCGCACCTTCACCTTGCTGGGTGACTTGGAACCTCAGTCAGTGAGGGCTGGGAGATGTATTCAGGGTGAGGCTCAGCAGTGCCCTCCTTGGTGTTTATGTGACTGAAAGTTTCTTACCGTCTGTTATAGTCCCTTTTGCTGGGGAAGCCATGGCCTAGCGAGATTGTCACTTCAGGAGGTCACAGAAGGATTTTTGCACTTTCTCGATGTTGTGTCACGGAGTGTGTGGGGTGGATGCTGTCATTAAGGGTCTTGCGTGATTCTGGGGGAAGGGTTGGAAAGCAGCTCTGAGCACAAGCTGGGGGCGCTCCTCCCCTCACTCACGGCCACAGTCCAGCAGCTGCACCCCCCGTGTTTGCACATGCAGGTCACTTGACCAGACACGCTGTGACGCCCAGTGTGTTTGCGCTGCCCAAAGGGGTGATGGCCGCTCCTGCCTCGTGATTCGGAGGCTGATGCTGGGCTGAGAGTCCTGGCTCAGCAGTCGGGGAACTTTGGAGACAAAATCATTTTAGCTTAGAATGTACCTGAAGGTCCCTGGCGTGCAGTCGCCATGTCCAGCTTTCACGCATCACCCGCGAGAGGAAGGGAGTGTTTGTGGAGTGCCCCTGAACACTGGCCCTGGGAAACACAAGCCTTGTCATCTCGACGAAGACCTCGTGAAGTCGTAACCCTTTTTCTCCGGGGTTAGTGCGTGAAAGTTCTGTGTTACAGAGGCAGGCAGTGGGCCCTGGCTGGCGAGGGCGATGCCCCAGCCAAGGGCATCTGGTGATGTGAGCCCCCCGTCCTGCCTGAAGCGGCGTTGTGGGCACCTGCAGCAGGCCCCTGCTGTTTAGAACACAACCCTGTGCCGACAGGGCAGGCGGGTGCTCGGTTGTCCATGGTGAGCTGGCCCAGATCCGCGGGGGCAGGTGGGGCTCGCGGGCACACGTCGCAGAGTGGCGGCCCCACGCCGCTCCCAGTGGAGTTGGTGTGTGAAGAGCTCCACCGCTGTTTGGGGTGTCTGCCCCTGGGGTGACTGCAGAAGGCCCTCACAGCCCCACCTGCCTTCGGGTGGCTGTCTTAGTACCTTTCTTTGGACATAGGTTGGACATAGATGTCCGGACATGCTTGGCTGTGAGAACACTTAGGCCCTAAACACGTGAAGGGCGCAGTTCCCCATTTCACGTGAAACACCAGGCTGAGGGAGGGGGAGGCCAGCTCTCCTGGCTCCCGAACCCCTTGCTACTGCGCCTTTCCCAGGGTCAGAGGCTGTGTGTCACTGCCTGTGTCCCGTCACCTTTGGGTGTGGGCTGTTCAGCTCTAAGAGGGCCCAGAGAGCATCCTGCCATTTGGAGACTCCGAGAGGTCTGGGTGAGGCTCTAACATCTAGGTATGGGCCACTAGTGACCACGTGCTGGCCCAGCACGCCTGGACCCTGGTCTCCTCACCTCTCACAGCCTCATCATAAGCACTGGGATTATACCTCTTTACTAGTAAAACCGAGAGGTTTTACTAGTAAAACCCAGAGAGGTTGTGTAACTTGTTCCAGTCACACAGCATGTGTCGGTCATGGGGCCAGCACTCACACCCCGGCTGTCTGACTCCAAGGCAGAGCCGCAGGCAGACACCTCGCCCGCTGTGGGCCCTACGCCAGCCTGCAGCCAGGAACCGCTCGCTCTGGGACCTGGACCCTGTGGCTTAGCCCTGCCCGTGATGCTGTCCTGCCCGTGATGCTGTCCCGCAGCTGATGGTGGCTGCTTTGGATTTGGGCAGAGCAGGAGGTACTGGCTGTTTCTTTGGGTGCATAGCACCCACGATTCTGAGGCATAAAGAGGGGAGCTGTGCTTGCTCTGCCCTGGGCTGGAGCCCCCTCTCAGTGTACCCATCCTTCCCCCCCCTTGGGGGCGCTTGACAGTGAGACACCCTGCAAGAACAGCTCTGGGGAGCATTATGCTCAGGGAAGCACTTTTTAAATAGTTTTAATTCCCACTTTAGCTATCTGTTGCAACTTCTAGTGGTTAACTGTAACATTAGTCTCAAAGATCCAAACTGGAGCCTTTTAAAATTTGCTGTCTGAAAACATATCTTTCTTCCATGCTCAAGCTTTTCTAAGCCAGAGGCTCTCAAGCAGAACCCCCACGCCTGCTTGTCTTCCTTGGCACAAGCCAGCCATGGGAGTTGAGGTCCTGAAATTCTCTGTTCTTCGCTTTGGCCCCCATGTCCTATGTTGTGGGGTTGGGGGGATATTTGACAAGCTTCATTTTAATAACCCAAACAGCTACCCCGAAGCTGAGGAAGCTGAGGTGGGGTCGAGTCAGTCTTTTTAGAAATCCCCCCAAGTCCAAAAAGGATGTGTGTTGACCTTGAACCTAGGTACTCGGCAGGGCCCCCGGCTGGGAAGGCCCATAACCAGCCTCCCGCTTGGGCTGAGCCGCTTGGGCTGAGCCGCTTGGGCTGAGCCGCGCCGGGCCCAGCCTGGCCTGAGCAGGGGAGGGGCCTTCCACTCAGGCCCCGGTGCACTGGCTCCAGGCGGTGTTTGGCTAATGAAGTGTGGTACCTTTAAACAGAGGTCACAGGCCTGACCTGTGTTGTGTGGGCTTCTTGTTTGTCAGGCTAGAAGCATTTTCTCATTTTCACAGTTGAGCCGAAAACAAAGGCCTCCTTATCCGAGTGGGAGCAGAGCTGAAGGGCTGACATCAGCCTTTTCCCAGCGGGCAGCCTCTCCGCCTTAAGAGTCTCGCAGGGCTGGGAGGGCATGGGCTGGTGCTGGCCTTTCTTGGTCAGACCCAGGGAGAGGAGCAGTGGGGGTACAACCCGAGAGGTGGGGGCACTGGAGTCTCTGACTGCTTGAGTCCCTGGCAACCCTCGTTAGAAGTGGGGCGGAACCAGGAGCCGGGAGACCGCCCCTGTGCGGAGCCCGGGACACACAAACGGTGAGCTCCCCGCGCTCTGCTGGGCGGGGGCGTTGCTTTCTAGAACTCTGGTTTTAGCTGCGGGGCTGCACAGACCTCTGTTTCCAGCACACACAGCAGTTTTTGTCACTGGAGGACTCACCTGGACGGTTAGCGCTCAGGGCTGCCTCTTCCACAGGACAAAGCCATCTGTCCTGCGAGTGTGGCGAGTGCCCCAGGGGCTTGA